ACCTTCTTAGAAACTCACCAGAAGAAAGGTCGTTAGTACAAAACTTGCCAATTGATGCTTCTAGGATATGCGGTTAACGAGCTTGTCAGCCCATCGAAACATGCAAGAGACGATAATTGGAGTAGGTATAGCAAGCTGAATGAGAATCGTTTTGGAGAAAGATTCGAAGATGTTCTCCCTATAAATAAGGAAAGTGTGTAAATTAGGATTACTAATTTAGCAATCAATGTAAATATCGATTAATAAAAACAAGTCGAAAATAGGAATGTCTATTAAGAAATTCAATATATAAACAAATGTAAATACCCGATTAGAGTGAGGAAAAGAACATCAATAATACATTTTTGTACTCTCTTTCGAATTCTCTCTATTTCATTAATATTTTTTGAATTCTCTCTCTTATTCCATTGGAAAACACGAGTTCAGTCAATTTTGGATATGCGGAAATCATAAAATTTTGGAGAAATTAAAATTTCTACGTAAAAATATCTTTGAATCAAATTAAAGAATTTCAAATTCATATGTCGACCCAACATTTGATCACTACGGGTTTAATTAGGTACAACCCGATGCTTCGGAAAAAAAATGATTATCATTATAATATATATTTCGACCCGAATTTCACTGATTTTATGCTATTCTATATATTGTTTGTAAATCAAATATGATTACCACTATATTTCACTGCATGCAGTATTTGAAAAAACCAAGAATCTAGCTAAATGAATTGAATAATTAATAATAATAATAATAATAATAATAATAATATTAGGTAAATTTCAATTTCCCTCTTGTACTTTGGCTGGATATCACTTTACCCCTATCACTTTACCTCCTTGTACTCTCAATTGCATCGATTTGCCCCCCTTGTACTTTGGTTCGATATCACTTTACCCCCTTCTACTCTCAATTCATTGATTTGCCCCCTTGTACTTTGGCTCGATATCACTTCACCACATTCTACTCTTAATTGCATCGATTTGCCCCCCCCCCCCTACTTGAAAAATTATCTCAATTTGGCCCTCGCCGTTAGTTTTCAGAAATTTGACCTTAACACCATTTGATTTAAGTCTGAAAATTACTAAAATGTCACCCCTCCTGTTTAAATAATTATTAAAAAAAAAAAAAAAAAAATAATAATAATAATAATAAAAAAAAATTCAAGACAACTAGAAAACATAGTCCACGACGCCAGCCACGATTTATTTTTATTTTATTAATAATTATTTAAACTAGGAGGGGTGGTTTTTTTGTAATTTTCAAACTAAGATAAAACGGTGTTAAAGTCAAATGTCAGAAAACTAACAGATGGCCATATTGAGACAATGTTTCAAGTACAAGGAGACAAATCGATGCAATTGAGAGTAGAATGGGGTAAAGTGATATCGAGCCAAAGTAAATGAGACAAATCGATGAATTGAGAGTAAAAGGGGGTAAAGTGATATCAAACCAAAGTACAGGGGGAAAATCGATGCAATTGAGAGTACAAGAAGGTAAAATGATATCCAACTAAAGTACAAGTAGGAAAGTAGAATTTTATCCTAAAATTATTAATGAATTAAAGAATGAGAAGAGAGGTGTTTTGAACGCAAATGGTGGGTCAGCTCACCACTTACTTCAAGTGATACGACTCAAATTACAAAGATTTTGTCACCTCATCAATAAATATATATATTTTTTAAATTAAATAAATAAATATAAAAGTAGGAAAAAATATTTGAATTAAAGTGAAGAAAATGAAGTGGACTGGACAGAAGAAAGGTACAACCCATATGCGATTACAGAGATACCCCTTTTCACGCATGCATGCATTTTTTCCCCCTACTGCTCGTCAATCTGCAAATAAGAGACAAATTCAATTCTCTATTTATTACCCAATTTCTGGTCCTTCTTTTTTTTTTTTTTAATAAATAGTTGTTTATTTCACGTTTATTTACAATTTTTTTTTTGGGAATTTTATAATTAATATATAATTCAAAATGGTTGATAACTGAATGAATGATAATCAAATCTGTTTATAGCTGAATCAAACCCAGAGTCAAACCAACCATGCGCCACATGTCTGACACACACAAAAGAAATCAAATCAATTTTATTTATTTATTATGATATTAATTAAATTAATTATATTATAAACTCTTGTAACTTTATAATATCAAATGTAAACTGTTTCAACTTATTAAAAAAAAATCATATTTATGTGAAAATTGTTTGAACTCTCAATTCACAGCCGGTAGAAAACCAGTACCTTGATTTTTATGAAAAGTGTCGTTTAAGATAAATGCAGATCATATCAATTAAATATTTCTTTGTAATATAACTTTAGGAGAAAAAACCTTATTTTCCACAACTTTATTAGTCTGTTATTACTGTTCGGATAATTAGGACAAGGGAAAAATAAATCAAATTAAATTGGTCTACGTACAATAAATCATTGACATTCTGAAAAGTTCGTTACTTTTTACAGGAAACATGGTAACATTATCAATTAGTATAATTAAATTAAGATCAATCAATAATTGTTTGAGAAATAAATAAATAAATTGATTTTCTGGATTTGAAACAGGGATTAAGTTTTCGTACCCACCCAGAATCAAAGAGTTATTCAAGTGAGAGATTCTCTGAGACCAACTTAGCTAGAAACAGTATGTATCTACTATCTACACTACCCTATGCCCTATTATTAATCTATTATACATTAACCAGTCCTACACTAATTTTTCTTATTTACTTTTATTTATAAAATTCATATATATATTACAATATATAAATACGATAAATTACCGCCACCGCTAAGGTATGATCAAAATATAAAAAAATCCTTCTTTTTTAGATAATTACACGCACTCCATCTTTTCAAAATATTTTTTTATTAAATTTATGTGATTCAGTTATTTAATGAGCCAAATCGTTTATTCAGTTCGGTTAACAGTATGAAATGTTGGCGTACCGAAATTTCGGTCCGATTTTTACCGATTTAACATTACTAAATTTACCTCTGGAGGATTCTTTTCGTAAGATTATACATAGTTGAGGGAGACTGTAATTATTCAAAGAGGAGAAAGTTTTTCGTAATTTAACTATAACTCAAGACTTTCTGTAATATGCCCTATAATGATCATTTGCTCATAACTCGCAAGAAAAATTGGCGTACCAGGACAGAATGTATCATTTATAAAGCTATTACATAGGATTAATCATTTCGCAATAATTTGGAATAAAACACAATTTTGGTCCAATTTTAGGATTAAAGCTATTAATTACAAGGATTAATATATTTTTTTTCTCCAATAATTACATTTCAAATACAAAGATTATCTACTATTTTATAGTATAGATGAAAAAACACAGTTTTTGTCCAATTTTTTAATATATTTTTTTCTCTTTTTTTGGAAGATATTGTGAATTAGTTTTTTTCTTTTGACAAAAACGGAATATTTATGTTCCTAAAGTAATAATTTCGATCGAATCAGCACCATTTGGAGCCTCATCCAATCCATGAAAGCTAATAAAAAAAATAAAAAAAAATATATAGAAATAAGAAATTAAAAGGTGTGGTTGAAAAGTATAGTAAAGGTCCTATAAAGTCAGCCTCCTAATCCTCGTGCTCTTTCTGTGATAATATTGTTCAATTAAAACCTTATGGATGAATTAATAAATGAATACTTATAAAGCAACTTTCATTTATTTATATACCAAAAAAGGTATGTGCAGTGGTTATAACTTAGTATTATCCACCAACAAAAATACGGTAAATTACGACCATGTCTCGAGGTAATGTTAAATTACGAAAACCCCCCTCTTTGTTTGGGTAATTATAACCACCTCTTAACTACGAATCTTCTCACATGTCCACCCTTACGGTTTTAAATTTAAATAGAATCATCTACATTCTGTGAAAAATTCTCTAGTTGTACTTGTTTTCTGTCAAAATGCAGTTTTTGATGGACCACGATGTGATATTTACAAGCCAATAGACAAATCTTATGATTATCTTGTTTCAAAATGTGAAGCTCAAAAGGGGTAAATCGGGTACAAACTGGAGAATATTCCACAGAGCTAGAAGTTTTCACTAAATTTGACACCAAAAGAATGAATGCTTAAGAAGTTTAATAGTTGAGGGTGGTGGTTATAATTACCCAAACATGAGGGGATTTTTTGTAATTTGACCCACAAAAATATTACGGAAATGTCAAAAACATAACAGCTGGACAAAACAAAGAGTGAAAACCCCGTTTCCTCCTCTCCACTATCCCCAAACTCCCAGACAAGAATCAAAAATATACCGCCGCTGCTTTTTATGTACAAATACCCATTTCATCACATTTTTTTTCAATTTAATATTTTACAAAAATTTAACACACACAAATTAAACTGTATTGTTATTGTAACTAGTAATTATTAGTACTCCCACTGTTTTCTTTAATAGTATAATAATTAGATTATTAATAATATTACCACCTTGCCTCGATCTTGTAACCCCGGATTTGAATCAACATCACATCTCTCTCTCTCTCTCTCTTCTTTCTCACTCTAGGTTTCTCTCTCTTCGCCAATCGCCATTACTATTTGTATCAAACTTCCGAAATTCTCCTTTTGCAAAAAAGAAATTAAACCTCTGCAAACTTCTCTCTCTCTCTCTCTCTCTCTCTCTCTCTACATATTATTCGAAACCTCTCCTTTTCAAACCCTTTTCCACCATCATTTCATTTCACCTTTTCATAATTCTTATATATTTCTTACATATATAAATTATTGTTTAAATTTTCT